TATGAACTTCGAAGGCTTTTCGCTAATATTTTAGTTTATTCATGTCCAAATAATCCAAGAGAATTATGGTTAAAATTTGAATCGCATCTGTCTGAAGATATTAGTCGAGACTTATCGCTCACACCTGCACAGATACGAAGTCGTGTTTTAGGTCAGATTGCCTATTTCTTAGAATCCATGGGAAAATCAATTACTTCTTTTGATCTTGTGACTGAAGATGTCCCTACCATAGATTCTACAAATTTAACAAGAGAGTTAAATGCGGAAAAAAACATAAGTGTCTCAGTCGAAGATTTACAAGCAATTCAATTATTAAATGACAGGCAAAAGTATGCCTTTCGTTTAATTTCTTCTTGTGTCTATAATAATGAGGTAGGAGCATTTTTTATAGATGGTCCTGGAGGAACAGGTAAATCATTTCTTTACCGAGCTTTATTAGCAGATATTAGATCAAAGGGATATATAGCTTTAGCAACAGCTACTTCCGGTATTGCTGCTTCTATTTTACCAGGTGGTAGAACAACACATTCGAGATTTAAGATACCTTTAGATATATCAAGAGCAGAACCTTGTAAAATAAGTAAACAAAGTAGTCTTGCAATATTATTAAGAGAGTGTAAAATAATTATATGGGATGAGGCACCAATGGCTAAAAGATCAGCAATCGAATCCCTAGACAAATTACTTAAAGATATTCTAGACTCGAATGAAATATTTGGAGGAAAAGTTGTTGTATTTGGAGGCGATTTTAGACAAGTATTGCCAGTCGTTCGTAGAGGAGGTAAGACTGAAACAATTGACGCTTGTTTAGTTAATTCACCGCTTTGGCCACATTTAGAAAAAATTGAACTGACAGAAAACATGCGAGCTAAATTAGACCCTGTCTTTTCAAAATATTTGTTAAGGGTTGGTAATGGAGTCGAGCCAACAGATTCAAATGATTTAATTCGAATCCCTGCATTTATAAACACATTATCTATGGATGATATTAACGATATTGATTAACTAATTAATGTTGTTTACCCAGACTTGTGTCAGTTGACTAATGAGGTCCTTCCAATTAATCGTGCAATATTAAGTACAAGAAATAATTTTGTTGATGAAGTGAATAATGTACTGATAGAAAAATTTCCAGGTGAACCAATTGAATATTTTAGTTTTGATGAGACTCGAAATCCTGCTCATTGAGGTCAATATGAGGATATTATTAATTCATTAACACCAAGTGGTATGCCACCTCACAAATTAATCTTGAAAAAAAACTGTCCAATAGTATTACTCCGTAATTTAGATCCAACAGAGGGGTTATGTAATGGTACAAGGATTAGGTGTAAAAATTTAACTAAAAATATTATACACACAGAGATAGTTGTCGGTGACTTTGCAGGCAAAGAAGTTTTTATACACAAAATACCC